AAGTAACGGTAATCTAATTACCGTTTTTGCAATAGTAATCCCTTACTTTACTCGTTACTTGAAAAAAGTAATCGGATTACAGTAACGCATTACAAGTAACGCGTTACTGCCCATCTCTGCCCTTTACAAAATAAACTTCACAAAAACAACCCAAAGCCTGAACATGGAAACAAGGAACTAAACTGGACTCAAGAAATTAGAAAAACAAATTAGGAAAAGTATGAGGAATATGGAGGGAACACAGAGCAAAATTAGAATAGGTTAGGTTAATGACACAATATACACAGAGGGATAACAAGGATATGAGTCACAGGAGGAGGGCACAGCTGGGAGTCTTCAAACATAAGACAAGGGGAAGCAAATCAGAATGACAAAGGACAGTGACGGTCAAAATAAAACAGGAAATGTGACTATACCTACACTAAACATGAGGGGCACATGAACAAAGCCAAAGATCTACAAATCACAGAACAAAGAACTAGGCCTAGAAACATAAAACAGAAACCACAGCTATTAACTGCTCTTCTATTTTAGCAATCAAACCACGATGAAATAAAAAATAAAGATACAAAACTCAAAACACTGGGTCACCGACCCAGGACTGCAACAGAACGTCGACTACATCGTGGGCCGATCGTGGCTCAAGAGTTGGGAGTTCGTCTTGTAATAGGAAGGTTGCTGGTTCAAGCCCCGACTCCGACATTCTCGGTCGTTGTGTCCTTGGGCAAGACACGGTGGCGCCAGTGTCTGTCAACCTCTGCCGCCACCAGATGTGGCTACAATGTAGCTGCCATCACCAGTGTGTGAATGACAGAATGTAGTGTAAAGCGCTTTGGGGTCCTTGGGGACTAAGCATAGCGATGTACAAATACATCGCTATTTGTACATCTATTTGTCAGAAAATAGATTTGTTCATGAACCAGACTAAAGCTCAATGAGACCAGAGGAAATTTGAGATTCAGTTACATAAGATGTAATGAGAATATGTTTTCACAATTTTAGGTGTTTACTGGTCTGTTTCTTTGAAATAATTCAAAGTTTAGTAGGCAAAAAAAAGAAATTCAGGACGTGTCGGTAAGTGACAGGCAACCTTTTCTCCAAGCAAATCGAAAAAGTCAGTCTCCCACTCACTGCCTTTGAACCAATAGAAAGCTGGTGCTCAGAGGAAGAGGGTGGGCTTTACTTGGTTTCAGTGACAGAAATGAAAAAAAGCTCAAATGAGTGAGAAGGACGATGAAGGAAACATCTGTGCTGTGTCTGCTCTGTAAGTAGAACTGATGATTCTTTTTTAAAAGATACAATCATTTACACAGGTTTACATCTAGTTTGCTTCACAGCAGTAAATTCTATTTTAATGGGAAAAAAACTGCCATAAACCACCCACCCTACCCTCTCGCTCTGTAAATATCAATGTATTCAGTTAAATTCACTTTAACAGTTCTGTTTAACGAAAACATTTACAATGCAAAAAATGTAAAAGAAATAAATAAAAGCTGTGGACAAACAGGAAAGGGTATTACTGATCAGTCCCTCAAATCTAGCTCTGTTAGAAGATTCAAAAATGTGGTCTATATCTGCTCAAACTCTTGTTATTTTCCTCTGTACTGAATAAGGATTCTCTCGGGAGTGCAGTACGATAACAACACGTTAATCCAGTGTTTCTGGCCTGGAGGCTCATTTTTGTTGCAAGAAACAGCCTATAGTGTAGTCTTAGAGACACAACATCTCCAAGTATCCAGATCTTAGGATCAGAGTCCAAATGAGATCTGCACACCTCTGAGTTTATTGTGATTACAATGTTCCAGTAGGACTGTAACTGTACATGTCTCCTAGGCATATGAACCAGATCCCAAACAGACATTTGACACCCTTGGCAATAGTCAGAGATGTCATCTCTCAGTTCACTCAGTCTATATGAAGTGTAATATGTTCAGTCAATATTAAATTGGATTTGTCTGTGATGAGTAGATTCCAATCCTGTCTGAGATGAATTTGGCAAACTGCTTCAATTATTGTCTTCATATGTGCAACTTGGGTCTAATTCCTACTTTGATTTTTTTTAACAATTATCACAGACTGGTAAATTTTATAAACACAAGAAGTAAGGCCTTTTGTGGAGTTGCATTTGGTGATCTGACAAGAGTGTTTCAAGTATTGATTTCCTCTGGTTTATTTGGGAATGTCCCTAATGTTTGGCTCCTGACCCAATGTCTGCTCTGTAGATATTTAAAAAGATAATCTTTGTGAATATGGATAGTTGACAGTAGCTAGCTGATTTTATTGGTATTTAGCCCTTGAGGTTAACTGGTGATTCTAAACTGGGATATGGTGTGAATGTGAGACTGGGTGGTTGTCTCTCTTTGATGGCCCGATGGCCTGTACTCACCTTATAAGAGCTGGAATAGACTCCAGCTCTCCATCAACCCTTATTTGGACAGACAGTTAATAAATGCATGGAAAGAGTTAAGATTTATGAACTTTTTCCTTTTCCTTTCTACCTTTTGTTGTCTCAAACTTTACTGAACATGTTGCTGGCATTAAATATAAAAAGGGGAGACGAGTTTGTGTGTTTGTCAGCTGTTTGTGTGGAGTTGTTCTTTATGTTCACCTCAATTCAACCTGAGTGTCATTTCTCTTTAGTTCTGATCTCACTGCTGAGCTGCACAACAAACCAAGGTCAGTAACCTTCTTCTGTCACAGTTTAAACCTGATAAACTCTGACAAGTTTTACACATTTGGATTAAAACTTTCAGTAAAGATCTCAAAGACGTGATCATCAGTTTTTCATTTTAACCCTCACAGCTCGTCTGACTGTGAGTCCCAGCAGCTCTCAGTTCTTTGAAGGAGACTTTGTGTCTCTGAGCTGTGAGGAGGACGACAGCTCTGCTGGATGGACTCTGAGGAGAAACACAAGCAAACAACAGAGGACTCAGTGTGGAGATGGGTGGGGAGAAGGTGCTGGTTCTTCATGTAACATCGATGTTTTCCCACTGGACAGTGGAGTTTACTGGTGTGAGTCCAGAGAGGGTCCCATCAGTAACATGGTTAACCTGACAGTCACTGGTAAGCTGAGTGTGTGGAGTTAGTGTTGATGAAGCTGTGTGTAAATGGATGAAATGCTGTAGTTTGTCTCTGTGTTGAGGTGGATCAGTGATCCTGCAGAGTCCTGTCCTCCCTGTGATGGAGGGAGATGACGTCACTCTGCTCTGTAAAACAAAGACCACTCCCTCCAACCTCCCAGCTGCTTTCTATAAAGATGGCTCCCTCATCAGGAAGCAGCCTACAGGTCACATGACCATCCAGCATGTTTCCAGGTCTGATGAAGGCCTCTACAAGTGTGACATCAGCGGTCATGGAGAGTCTCCATCCAGCTGGATCACTGTCACAGGTGACACACTCACCTGTCTGTGTTTCTGCAGCTTTCAACATTCACAATGTGACGACAACTTAATGACTGTGTTTGCTTTGTTTTAGGGGAAGACGCCACCACACCTCCACCTACATCCACACCTCCACCTACATCCACACCTCCAGTTGGTTCCTTTCTCATACCTGTGTTGTCATGTGTTGGATGTGTTGTGGTTCTACTGGTGTTACTGGTTCTGCTGGTGAGACGATGTGTTCACAGGAAACCTGAAGGTGAGACTCAGACTTCCTGATCTTTCATGTCTGAGTTTTTTTAGTACAATAAAGTTCACATTTATTATGATCACAGTAACAACTTTATTAAATGTAATCTCTCCATATTTAGATTTAATTTATATTATTGTTCATTTTTGGATCATTTCAGCAGATCAAGAAGAAACTGGAGAAGATGACATCATCACTCATGTCATGTACAACATCATCAAAGCATGAAAGTGTAAAGAACAGAGAATCAAATGAAATACGGTAGTGCTGTGTACTGTATAGCATAACAAAGACTCTGGTTCAGTGTGGGAACATATAAAGGAAAAGAAGCGAGGACATGATGTCATAGGTTCATGAGGAGTGTTTCTGACTTTGATGGATTATAAGGACACGATGGACATGTGAGGGATGATCAGAAGTGTGAAAATGTTTCATGTTCAAAACCTGAAATCATGAAATTTAATATGTATTATTTCTTTGTGTATGTCATTGACCTAAAACTTGATCAGCTCAGTCAGATAAAATGTGTGTGTTTCCCTCTGTACTTACTGAGTGTTGTTCACTGTGAGCTGGACTGTGTGTTTGTGGTCTGTGGTTAACTGAAGCTAACAGCTCTGCAGTCGTCCAGCATCCTGTTTCTGATAGAAAGAAATTTATCTTGTTGATGATACCAGTTAACTGTATTTGTAGCCTGAAGCTGGTGAGACTTCTCACCGCAGGGTGTTCTGGTTTGACAAATAAAAGTGTTCATGCTGTGAGAACACGTGTACTTTGTCCTCTGTGGTGAAGAGAGTCAGACTGCAGTGAAAAAAGATGGCAGCTTTGTGGTCGTCCACCTTTTTTTCACATTAACTCCCCCTCAGTTCTTTGTGCTCACTCTGCGTTTCACAACAGAGGTGGTAAGAAGTCTGTGAAAATGTGTTGTTGTTTATAATGATCATAAGACATTCTCTTTATAATACAATGTTAAAAAATAATAAACATGTTTTTCCATAGCTGTGCTGTTGCACTTGCACCTGTGGTTTTTCATTTTATTCTGCAGAGATGTGAAGCTGTCAGCTATGGACCAAAAACCATCAGAACAAAGAGGCCCAGCTACTGCTGCTCTTT